TGTGTGACTTTAGGTGTGTGGGAGAAACTCATCAGGTAGGATTAATACTCCTGGCCTCCCCTTCCCCACTCCCATGGGAGGAGGAGAGAATATTCTGACTGGCACTCCCAGAGAGGAAGCCGAGCCTGGTTAGCTGTGCCAGTCCTCAGGTGCCAGCTGTCTGCAGGGCCAGTGACCGGGCCCTGAGTCAGTCTGAATCACAGTGAGCAGCGAGCAGAGGCCCTCATCCACAGATCAGAGGCAGCCCTCCAGGCAGCTTTAGGGGGACTCAGATTTCCATCCGTGGGACTCCTGAGAGACCACTTTCTCAATTTGCTGCAGTAGGTTACAGTAGCTACTATGTCTCAATTTGTTACACCTGAGCAGGGCAGGGGGGATCCCCCCACCCCGACTAGGAGATTCCTGGTGACCATCAGGTGATGTTGTTACACCGTTTCTCTAAAATAGTAATGGACTTGTTGTGACACTATTGTTACACTGTTTCTGTAAAATAGTAATTGGCTGGGGTGGGGGAGCAGTCTCCTAACAGAATTACCTGAAGCTGGTGATAATAAGCTTCTCCTGATAAAGATCTCAGGCGTTGGGCAAGTGGGCTCAGGTGGTGGTGTTTAACTTGTATTTAACCTCATGAGGGCACTTGACTTGTAAGGGGAAAACGCCTCAGGTAAGCCTGCAGGCAAGTCCAGTAAACACACAGTGTGCACTCCCTTCCCAAAGGGCTGACGGGCCACTGGGCATGCGGACAGCCCACCCCAAGGGAGGAATCGGGGAGAAGGGACACAGATCCCAGACACGTGCCAACACATAAAGCACCGTCCCCCCCATCCCCCGTTTTTGTTTTTGTTTTTTTTTAAAGTTCTGTCTCAGCTTCCCGAGTAGCTGAGGGCACAGGTGACTGCCACCACCCCCCCGCTAATTTTTTGAACTTTTAGTAGAGATGGGTTTTCACCACGTTGGCCAGGATGGTCTCAAGCTCTTAACCTCGTGATCTGTCTACCTTGTCCCCCAAAGTGCTGGGATTATAGGCATGAGCCACTGCGCCTGGATGGTTGAACTCTCTTCTGAGGGGTCACATAAGCGAATCCATAAGGATTTACTGCCAGTAACATACCCTGTGACTCAAATAGACAGGTTCTGAGCTTGGGCAGAGAAGAGGGTGTCATTTGAGGACTCCTTCCCCAGCTGGGATGGCACGAGGCTTACCCGGGGGTGTGACGGCCACTCTGCAACCCTCCCTATCCCCGCCCCCATGCCCGTGACCCTGAACCACCCAGGTTCTGAAGGCAGGACCACCTCAGCCCCCACCAGCGCCCAGCTGCCACTCAGCTGTCCTCTCTCCCAGAAGGAAAATGGATTCAGCCAGTGGTTCCCACCAGCCTGGCACCCTGGTGACTCAGCCCCATCTCCTCTGCCCAGAAGCAGCTTCAAGAAACTGTAATAGGATCTGCACTGTTGGTAAAGGCAAGGCCAGGCCTCAGGGGCCACCTGGACACCAGGTGGACTCAGTCAGGGGCTGGTTGGGAGGAAGCAGAACCCTCTCTGGCTCACAGGCCCAGCTTGGCCTGGAGTGCGAGGTACCCCCACATACCGATAGGCAATGGGAGGTCACTCAGCGGCCACAGTGGCCCCTCCCTTAGGGAGAGCTAGCACTGGCAAGGCGGAAAACGGTGGCAGACGAGGGCCGGAGAATAATGGGAAGATACAAGTGGAGAAGGGAGGTCAGGGAGGAGCCTGCACCCTCGTTTCCAGCGCAGGGCCCGGGGTGTCCAGGGCTTGGCCTAGGGTGGGCAGTGACCCCCAAGCATCCAAACGGGCACCTGGGGGTCCCAGCGCAGCTGAAGTCAACACCCTGTACTGGCACGGAGGGGCCACCATGGGGGTCTGCAGAGGGGACTTTTGTTCTTTGCTCCCCAGAACCTCCCCCACTTCTCCCTGCAACAAGAGCTGGAGAGATGGCAGCCTGGGACTTGTGGGGAATCCTCTGGAGAGGCCTGTCACTCCTCCCCACTGCCAGGTCTGGGTGGGGCACAGGGCTCAGGCCTAAGCCAATTAGTGCCTTCCCTCACTGCACCCATGGGTCCAGGGTGAGCATGGGACCTAAGCTTGTTCAGTCTCGGTGGATCTGGGCTTTTCTGCTGGGAAAGTGGAACTAAGACATGGCATCTTTCTCCATCATATTTGATGGAAGCACAGGGCCCGTCCTGCCAGCTGGAGGAGTCAGCCTGCCTGACACTGCAGAGGCCGGATGCACCCCGGAGCCATCGGGCCGCTCAGCTTTAGGTCCAGTTCTTTACCTTTCCCGTATCCACCTCCTTTGCAGTGCCCTCCCACGGTGACCCTGGCCATGGCCACCAGGCTGGCGTTGGCCAATGGGATGTGAGCACACAGGACACCAGTCCAACCACGAAAACTGCATTAGTGCTTGTGTGTGCACCTGGGGCTGTGCTGTAAGAATGTGCCGTTTAGCTGTCAGAAGGACACCTGCAGGAGAACAGTCACCCCGGCTGACACCTGGACGTCAGCTAGGATATGTAAGCAATCCCGCCAAATGAGCAAAAGAACCACCCAGCTGACCCACTGACTCGTGGGCAATAATGAACAGCCATTGCTTTCAGTGTTGGTGGTTACACAGCTGGGCAAGCCCCTAGCCACTCTATTTGTTTTTTGAGATGGAGTTTTGTTCTTGTTGCCCAGGCTGGAGTGCAAAGGTATGATCTAGGTCCACTGCAACCTCTGCCTCCTGGGTTCAAGCGATTCTCCTGCCTCAACCTCCTGAGTAGCTGGGATTACAGGCATGTGCCACCATACCCAGCTAATTTTGTATTTTTAATAGAGATGGTGTTTCTCCACGTTGGCCAGGCTGGTCTTGAACTTCTGACCTCAGGTAATCTGCCCACCTCGGCCTCCCAAAGTGCTGGGATTACAGGCATGAGCTGCCATGTCCAGTACCCTTAGCCACTACATTCCCATTTTCAGTTGAACCACATTGGGTGATGATTAGAAACATTAATCCTAGTAAATGCATTATTTTTTCCGTCCCTAGCTCAGGCACCACAGAGAAGAGTCCAAGGGCCGGAAGCATAGAATTTTAATTCCAAGGTTCTGAGTTCATCTAATGCCTCAGATGGCAAGTTTATAAAACACACAAGTGCACAGACAGGTGTGGGAGGTAGCTGGGTCTATAAAGAGTGTTTGCAACACTACAAGTGTCTTCTGGTTGCTGTCAGGGCACTTGGAGATAGGGAAGGCTTGGTGAGGGCCGTGGCTTGTGTCTGCAGCACAGCCTCCTGCAAAGGGGCGGCCCTGCCCCCCTGCCCCTTCGGTGCCAGTCCATGCCCCCCAGGTGCCTCCGGCGCACTGAAGATGTTTTCATAGTACTCAATCAGCAGTTCAGTGAACAGGTTCAGGGGCACGAGCGCACTCAGGGAGGAGGCCCCCTGGGACGGCCAGATCAAATTCAGCCCGAAGACACAGGCCAGGTTAGAGCTGTTCATTTTGTTGAAAATGCTTTCCTGAGATACCTGGAGGAAATCATACATGAGAAAAGGGGAGTGAACACCACGGGCCACCCCTGGGGACTGAGAACTCCCTCCTGAACTGTGGAAGGGGTGTGTGTAGTGAGAAGAGCCAGCAGACAGCACAGGGACCCTGTGCGGCCACCTCCCCACTCAGGGCCGCGGTTTTCCTGACAGGAAGGGTCTGTGCTGGAGCACCCTCAGGCTCTGACCTTCTGTGACAGTCTCAACACCCCACCCTCTCCTCTTCCACTGCAGTGTCCCGGGAGACACACTCTTGGGGACGGGCTGAAGCACAGATGGGACGAACTAGGTGACCTCTCTGGCCTCTGTGCCGTGGGTGGCGAACTGGGCAGGATGGGGACCAGCCAGCATGTAAGGGTCACTGTGAGGGGGGCCGAGAGTGTAAAGAGCTTGTGTCCCAGAAGGGCTCACGGTCCCTCTCGGCCAGCGCTTACAGCAACCCCGGGAGGTGGGAGTCACTCCTCCCCATGTAACAGATGAGGTATCTGGTGCCCGGAGGTACAGGAGACTTGCCCCAGGTCATGTGACTAGCCAGGGGCTCGGCCTGTGGGGCCCAGATGAGGGCAGCGCCTGTTCTCGTCTACTTGCCTTCGTACAAGATCCAAGCTGGGGGGAACCTCAGAGTCAAACAGGGATGAGGCGGGCGTAGCCAGGGGTCACCCTCACAGATCTGGTGAGGATGCCTAGACACGCCCAAGCCCTGCTTCTGTGAGACGGCCAGGGGCCGCTGAGACTTCCCCTGCCTGACAGTCCCCCAAGCCCCTTCCAGGTGTCCACCAGCCAGGCCAACAGCAGGCCACCCCTCCCTAAGCCGAAGCCCCCAGGTGCCACTGGGGGGATAACACTCAACACCACGCCCCACCAGGCACATTCACGCAGTGGCTATAGAGATAAATCAGTCTCTCCCAGTGAAAAAGAAGTAGGGCGGACATGGGGGCTCACACCTGTCATCCCAGCACTTTGGGAGGCCGGTGGATCAGCCTGAGGTCAGGACTTTGACACCAGCCCAGCCAACATGGCGAGAATCTGTCTCTACTAAAAATACAAAAATTAACTAGCCGGGTGTGGTGGCGCTAACCTGTCATCCCAGCTTCTCAGGAGGCTGAGGCGGAGGCTGCAGTGAGCAGAGACTGAGCCACTGCGCTCCAGCTTGGGCAACAGAGCAAGACTGTTTCAAAAAAAGTAGAAAAATTTCGAGAGGATTAGGAGAACAAATTTTAGTTTTGGGCCTCTGGCAATTATATCAAGTGATGGGGAGAAGAGAACTGTTGTAAAACCAAGAGGTGGCATTCTCTGACGGACTCTGGCACGGGACACCTGTTCTGCCCAGGTACTCCTCTCCCCAACAGGGGGCACTGCCAGCGCCCCGCACAGCCTGGGGCAAAGGCTTGGGGAGATGGAGAAGATGAGACATACAGGGCCGTGGGTCTGGGGGCGGACCCATTTGGATGTGTTGAGCCTTCCTCTGTTGACTGCACAGGCTTTTGGTCCAAATGCATCCCTGCCCCAGGAGAGAGCAGTAAGCGCAGGCCCAGAGGGGCGCGACGGGTTTCTCTGTCTGTTCATTCGCTTAGCATGGTGTAGAAGACTGAATGGTGGTCCTTCCAAGATAGGCCACCAAGAATCGGTGACTGTGCCCTCATTTGGAAGGAGGGAAAGCAGCTGTCAAGTGAAGGATCTCAAGATGAGATCATCCTGGATCTTCTGGATGGGTCCTAAATCCAGTGAGTCGTGGCAGGGGCCTGAGCTTATGAGGGAAAGGGAGGGAGATTTGAGATGTGCAGAAGGCAGGCAGAGACTGGAGTGCCTAGGACCTGAGAGAGGCCAGGAAGGATCCGCCCCTAGAGTGTCTGCACAGCCAGACACTCTGGAAGCACAGCCCAGCACACCTGGATTCTGGATGTCTGGCTTCACAGAAGCGTGACATGGTAAATTTCCATGGCTTTACACCACCCACTGAGCAGTCACAAGAACCTAATGGGTCAGTTCAGTCCACAGTGAGGGCCGGTCACGCATCAGGCTCTGTGCCTGTGGTGGACACAGTTTCCCACCTCTGAGACTCAGCCGAAACAGATGACGTGGGGGGCAAAGGACCCCACTAACGAAGGTCGTTAGCAGTGGCCAAGGGATGGCAGGTGCAGGAGCAGGCAGGCCCATGGTGGGCCCGCGTGAGGTCCTTGCTGGCCAGGGAGTGGTATTCCGAGGGCCAAGCAGGGCATGACTCCAGACCCAAGGCAAGCAGGGGCCTGGTCCATGCAGGCATAGCATGGCAAGAGAGGCCACTGGGCCTCACCCCATGTGTCCCCCCTTGCCCACTCACCGTGTGCAGGAAGCTCATGAGGTAGCGGAGGACGACGTAGTTGTGCTCGGGCAGGCTCCCCAGGATCTGGCGGCAGCGGGTGACGCGCAGGCTGCTTTCCACACCTGGAACGGCACGGGCGTCCCTCCTGAGTTCCAGAGCGGCCGGGGGCAGCCCTGTATCCTGGGCTGGGAGGAGGGCAGCGCCGCAGGAAGGAGGATGGCTCTGATGGACCCCCGCTTACTCCCTGGCTGTGCGGCTGTGCTCAGCAAACCGTGTGTGTGCTTCGCCGTTCTTGCATTTCTACGAGGGAATACCTGAGATGGGGTCATTTACGAGAAGAGAGGTTTAACAGGCTCATGGTTCTGCAGGCTGTAAAACATGGTGCCGGCCCCAGGAGGCTTCCAATCATGGCAGAAGGTAAAAGGGAAGGAGGCGTGTCACATGGCAAAAACAGGAGCAAGAGACAGTGTGGGGCAGAGGGGCCACATGCTTTTAAACCAGATCGGGTGAGAACTCACTTGTGGGCAAGGCCAGCACCCACCCATGAGGGGTCCACCCCCAGGATCTGATCACCTCCACACCTCCAACGCTGAGGGTTACAACTCAACATGGGGGGCAAAGGACCCCACTAACGAAGGTCGTTAGCAGTGGGTGGGGTCTTTGATCTAAGCCATAGCACTTCAATTCTGCAAGCTCTGTTCCTCTGCTTTTTCACCTAGCAACATCACGTTCCAGGGAGCTGCTAAAGCTCAATCACTCTATAAATGGGAACGGTCTAGACCAGATCTGGCCCATTGCCTGTTTTTGCCAGTAAAGCTTTCTTAGAACACAGCCACGGCCATTACATACATTGCCTTAGGGCAGAGCTAAGTAGTTCCAACAGAGACTGCAAAGCCTGAAATAGTTACTGTGTATTTACTATGTGGCCCTTTACAGAAAAAGTTTGCCACCCCGCTCTAGACTGCCTGCTCATGATTCTCCGAACCACAAACTCCTCATGCCTTGTTGCTGTTGGGGAAGGCAGTGTCCCACCCTCCCAGGACCTGCTGCAACTGGCCCACACTGAGACCCACCCCCACTTACTCATAACCACACCCACCATCTTTTTCGTGCCGTTCTCATGACAGTGAATGATTTCTCAAGAGATCTGGTTGTTATGGCTTGGCATAGTGGCTCAGGCCTGTAATCCCAGCACTTTGGGAGGTCTAGGCAGGCAGATCACAAGGTCAGGGGTTCAAGACCAGCCTGGTCAATATGGTGAAACTCCATCTCTACTAAAAATACAAAAATCAGCTGGGTGTGGTGGCAGGCACCTATAGGCCAGGCTACTCGGGAAGCTGAGGCAGGAGAATCGCTTGAACCCAGGAGGCAGAGATCGCGCCACTGCACTCCAGCCTAGGCGACAGACTCTTGTTTCAAAAAATCTGGTTGCTTACGTGTGTGGCATGCCCTCACCCCATCTTGCTCCTACTCACACTGCACGAGACGCCTGCTCCTCCTTCGCCCTCCGCCATGTATGTAAGCTTCCTGAGGCCTCCCGTGAAGCCAAGCAGATGCCAACATCCTGCTTCCTATAAAGCCTACAGAACCATAAGCCAATTACACTTCTTTTCTTTATAAATTACCCAGCCTCAGGTATTTCTTTACAGCACCCCAGACCCAATGACAAGTCACATCCCACCAACCACCACCAGCTCTGTCTGTGGCCCTCTGTGGGTAACTCTGGATAGTGGGGGACTCTGAAAACATCTCTTGCCTCCATGGCCACAAAAGGCTTACTGGTTTTGAGTCTGGATTAGATACACCTTTGGTTAAAAACAAGCAAAGAAAAGAACAAGGTTAAAAGGACTAGTTGGAAAGAAACTGGACAAATAAAAAAAACCTTTAGGGCCTTCTGCTGAAACAGTGATTAAAAGCTTTCACCCTGACAGGCCATCTTAACTTGTATGAAACTATGTATGAAAGTTACCAGATCTGGGATTACAACGGGCTGTGTTGCTTCATGCTGTCAGCCCAGCACTTTGGGAGGCCGAGGTGGGCAGATCACTTGAGCCCAGGAGTTTGAAACCGGCCTGGACAACGTGGTGAGACCCCCTCTCCTGTCTTTACACAAAAATCCTTAAAAATTAGCTGCGTGTGGCAGTGTATGCGTCAGCCACGTGGGTGACATGTATGGGTCAGCTGAGGTGACATGACTCCTTGATCCCAGAGGTCAAGGCTGTGAGCCAACAGCATGTCACTGCACTCCAGCCTGGAGACCCCGTCTTAAAATGTTTGTTTGCAGATCTTTATGCCTATGCATTTATGTTATGTATACATGAAATTTTTCTCCCTCTGATGGTATTACCAAGTTAATTTATAAAATCCCTTAAAGGAGTTCTATTCAAATTGGCTTCGAGATACATGAGCATTTATATAAATTAAATATTTCTAAAGCTCTCAGAAATATAGAAACTAAACCAAATATTCAAGTTCATGTGATTTCAGTAACTCACACCTGTAATCCCAGCACTTTGGGAGGCTGAGGCAGGCAGATCACCTGAGTTCAAGACCAGCCTGGCCCATATGGTGAAACCTCATCTCTACAAAAATACAAAAATTAGCCGAGGAGGACGGAAGGTGCCTGTAATCCCAGCTACTGAGGAGGCTGAGGCAGGAAAATTGCTTGAGGTGGAAGACTCACTTGAACCTAGGAGATGGAGGTTGCAGTGAGCCAAGATGGCACCGTTGCGCTCCAGCCTCAGTGACAGGTGAGACTTCATCTCAAAACGAAACCAAAAACGAAATAGCCACGTGCTCTGAGTTATCCATATTAAGTATAATCCAAGCAGACATCTTTATGTAGCTGGGTTGACTAGCCAAGTAGGGTTAAAAATAGGTAACAGGGGCTGGGCCGGGTGGCTCATGGCTATAACCCCAGCACTTTGGGTGGCTGAGGTGGGCAGGTCATTTGAGGTCAGGGGTTTGAGACCAGCCTAGGCAAAACGGTGAAACCCTGTCTCTAGTAAAAATACAATTAGCTGGGTGCGGGAGCGCACAGCGGTGACCCCAGCTACTCGGGAGGCTGAGGCAGATGGATCGCTTGAGCCTGGGAGGCGGAGGCTATAACCAGCCAACATTGGACCACTGCACTCCAGCCTGGGCGACAAAGCAAGACACTGTCTCAAGGAAAAAAAAAAAAAAGAGAAATTACTTGAGATGACTAGCCTTATTCAGTGTTATGTAAGGCATTACAGTGAATAAGAAAGGTCACTTCCTGGCAGGCCCAGGAAACAAAATAGATTGAGAACTTTGAGAAGAATTCACTTAAATGTACACAGATTCTACAGGCAAAGTCCAATGGCAATTTTTTTTTTTTTTTTTTTTTTTTTTTGAGACAGAGTCTTGCTATTGCCCAGGCTGGAGTACAACGGTGAGATCTCAGCTCACTGCAACCTCCACCTCCTGGGTTCAAGGATTCTCCCGCCTCAGCCTCCCAAGTACCTGGGACTACCGGCATTTATCATAACTTTGGTATTTTTGTGGAGATGGGGTTTTACCATGTTGGCCAGGCTGTTCTTGAACTCCTGACCTCAGGTGATCCACCCACCCTGGTCCCCAAATGGTGGGATTACAGGCATGAGCCACTGTGCCAGGCCCTGATGGCAAATTTTAGGCTTGGCTTTCTAGCCTCAAGAGGTTTTTAAAAAGTGACTCTGAGATTCCTTATTAAAAGTCTAGCAAGGCTGGGCGCGGTGGCTCAAGCCTGTAATCCCAGCACTTTTGGAGGCCGAGGCAGGTGGATCACAAGGTCAAGAGATCAAGACCATCCTGGTCAACATGGTGAAACCCCGTCTCTACTAAAACTACAAAACATTAGCTGGGCATGGTGGCGCATGCCTGTAATCCCAGCTACTCAGGAGGCTGAGGCAGGAGAATTGCCTGAACCCAGGAGGCGGAGGTTGCGGTGAGCCGATATCGTGCCATTGCACTCCAGCCTGGGTAGCATGAGTGAAACTCCGTCTCAAAAAAAAAAAAAAAAAAAAGTCTAGCAAAGCACACCTAAAAAGAGCCTACATAGGTCCATTCTCATTCTTGCTGCACTTACATAATCAGGCCAGACTGGGCGAGACCAGACGTATTTGTAATTGAGAATCAAAAGGGAAGCAACCGCGGGAAGCAACCACGCTCCAGCGGAAAACAGCGCACAGGCCTGCGAGTTCTCAGTTCCTCTCGCTTCCTCCAGTACCTGGCTACAACACTCCCAGCTCACGTCCAGTTCTTCTCCTACCCGCTGCCTTGGCACGACAAAGAACTCAAACCTGCCATTTCCCCAAAGCCCCAAAAGCTGATGCTGGAAGACTTGAGGCAAACTTCAAAGAAACCGTCACGGCAGCTGATGTATGGATAATCCCGTGTCTCCTGCTGCACGGGCCAAAGTTCACCGGAACACCACGTGTCATCACCAAAGCCATCTACATTGCAAACTACGAAATTTACTGGGTGGCTGCTGCCACTGTCATTCTACCATGAAAGGGTACTTCAAGCCAACATCTAGGAATCGTCCCAACTACAAAAATTGGAGGTTATGGTTTGTTCAAAGCATTAAACTTCGTGTTTGTTGACACAGAAATGCCCCTTATTAAAGGGCTGACTTAGGCAAATGCTCCTTATTAAAGGGCTGACTTAGGTAGTCCCCTACTGCCACCCCCACCACTACCTCCTGAAATGAGACAGAACGGTTTACCCGGAGTGACCCAGTCACAGCACTGAGAGAAGGATTCAATGCAACATGAGACAATTACCAACTGAGTTACCGGACTGTTAAGACGTCTCGGGGAAAGTTTCAGATGGGGGAATGCTGGGGTTCGGAACATGACTCTTGAAAAGATGGCTCCTGGGCATGTAAACTATGTGATTAAGCTGAACATCGGAGAAACGGCAGGTGCAGGAAGGGCTCTCTACCTCCCCCTACTGGTCTGTAACAGATCATAAAACCTTCTCAGGGGAGGGGTCCGCCCTATGCCCAGAGGGAAGGAACACCCTTATCTCTAAAGATAGAGGGATGCCGTGGCCGGGCGCGGTGGCTCACGCCTGTAATCCCAGCACTTTGGGAGGCCGAGGCGGGTGGATCACGAGGTCAAGAGATCGAGACCATCCTGGTCAACATGGTGAAACCCCGTCTCTACTAAAAATACAAAATATTAGCTGGGCATGGTGGCGCGTGCCTGTAATCCCAGCTA